CATCGGAGAAGCCTCCACAGCTGCCAGGGCCGCTAAGAAGGAGGCTGCGGGGACGTCCCCGGAGCACGAGGAGCAGCGTGGAGCAGGGCGCTGCGGAGGAAGCGGGACTCCAGCCCGCAGGCCACACGCACCCCTCGGACAGCCGCGTTCCTGGCCCACGGGGGAGCTCAGTCCCGAGGAGCAATGAGATGAAGAGAATTCCCATAAAGCCAAACATGGTGATCCCATTCCCCATCCCCCCAGGTCCACCCCTGCCTGCCTTAGCACAAGCAGGGTTTTCAGTAATGTATACTACTCTCTTAAACACTGAATAAAACACACTACCACTTACTTAGCAAGGAAAACGTAACATATTGGAAGGAGCTCTCACGGCAAGGAGGGCCAACCCAAACTTTGGTCCACTGTATCTCTGCATCTTCCCATCCACTGGGAATCAGTTCCCTGCATTTTGACTGAAGTGTCAGCCCAAGAGTCCCCCCGCCGCGGCAGATTTCACAGAGTGAGCAGGTAAAGGCTGCTCTCGGCCTCTGCAGTCCCTTCCATGCCCATGGATGTCCTCTGTTGGCTTTCACCCAGCAGTGCCAATCCTGCTGGTCACCTGCGAGGGCAAATGAGCATCCTTTACACATGGCCTGTGTAGACAAGAACGATGGAAGGGCTGTGAACAGTTCAAAACAAACAAGTAGGTAGGGTCTTCTCTCCATTTTTATCTCCCTCTCTTCTAATTTCTTGAGCTGCTAATGACAGCATGCTCTGAAATCATCGTCCGGTAAGATAGCTGCTCTCCAGGGTCATATGGTCTGGAAGAATCTTAGCTGCGAGATGTCCTTTTCATGAGCACAGAAAGTCTCCTGGGTCCAGCCGGGCTTCGGTGGTTAAAAAGTCTGAAAGAAGAAAACAAGGAAGGCAGCAAGAAAGGGAGCGAGTTCCTCAGTGACAGCAAAACCACGGCCGGAGCAAACCCGGATTTCAGCTCCCGCGTTCTCAGCGCTCCCGCGCATGGTCAGAGCAGCAGGAAAGGGGGCGGCCGCAGAAGGGGCCGGATTCAGCACCCTGCACGGAGAGGACAGGCCCCTTCGGGTCTCTACCTCCCCCCTGCAAGGCCCTCCTCCAGGAAGAGCCTTTTGAGGTGCACAGCGCTGCCACGCTGCTGCCACTCCTGATGCCAAACGTGTGCTTTAGCTGATTATGGTCTTAAACACATACCTTTAACCTCAGCTGTCATCACCTGGGAGCCTGCCTTGTGGTGATGAAGAACTATGCAAAAGGTGGCAGAAGAGATAAAAAAGATTAATGCAAACAGCAAGCCTAAACTCAGCCCTGTGAATCTAAATAGAGGAAGGGGTAAGCAGTCAGGTCAGTGGTATTTTTTCAGTATGTCAGGGGAAGAAATAACTGTTGGCACCAGCAGATACTCAGTATTGACCAGCTGTTCAAAGACACGCATGCAAAGACCTGCTTGCACTTTGGGCACAGGTCAGCGGTCCTGGGGAGCAGGACATTGAAGCTTATTTGCTCTAGGTGGCCCTGCTTGGGCAGGAGGGTTGGACTAGATGATCTCCAAGGTCCCCTCCAACCCCAACCGTTCTGTGATTCTGTGCTCTGAGCAGACACCAGCATAAAGGAAACACCACAGACACTATCATAAATGACACACCACAGTGCATGTCATCCCAGCCTAGCCTGAAGGGCTGACATTGATGCCAACGTTTCACGTATTACACCAAAATTATTTGTGTGGAGCTGTGTTCTGCAAATACATTAGGTCTGTGTAGGTCTGTTCTTGTGTGTGGAGACTGCCTTGCACTCACAAGGATCTAACCAGACTTTCGCATCTTCCCTATGATCTTTTCATCTCTGCCCTTCACAAAGGCTGAGAAAGCAGCGCACTGTGCACCACACTAACTTGGATCCACACACCCATCAGATGAACCCACAGATCTGTTCATTACCTAGCAGATCATACTCAAATTACAAAAACTGTATCTGGATTTATATTTTGTACCTTGTGCTCTTTGTTTAGCTCCAGGGTTTTGCCTGAGCCCTGTCTCCCACCCAAGAATGCTACAGACAAGAAAGGAGAGCGTGGGGCTCCTGTACTGATTAGTTCTGCTTGGGAGGGAGCATCGCCCTACACAGAGGCCCTGCTCTTATTTACGTATCTGAGTTTCAGCCTTCTTACTTGCTGGTTCTTCGGGAAGCCGTCTCAAAGAACTTCGTCCTGGAGGCCACACTGTAAACAGAATGAGGAAATCATTTCAGCTGTCTGAAGACAAGGCAATTTGCTAGCTAGACCTTATGTATGCCGAGAAAGACAGCAATACCATCAGAAGACACTGAGAACAGCTGCCCATCGCTTCCTAACCACGTGCGTTCTGGCTGATGCGGCTGGCACGCTCCTCTTGCTCTCAGTTCCATTTTATTCTTCGCTTGCCTAATTCAGAGCAGTGACAGCTCTTGACCGCTGGCTCGGGCAGGATCGCTCGGAGTTTGTGGTGACCCTATCAGGCAATCGGCAGCTAGAGCCGTCCGCAGCCCAGCGGGAATGACATGGAACGGGAATCCTACGTGGGGCGATGCGCTGAGCAAGAGCTCAGTGACAAGACCCACGCTCCAGCCTCCCAAGCCCGGCCCAGGCTCTGTGCCTGATGACCTGCTCCCTGCAGTCACCCTTTTTACTCCCTCTGTAGCCAGCAGAATGTTTCATGTGTTCAAGAACTGAAAAAAATCCCATCAAAGCTGGATCAGGCCTCTTTTGAGGAGCACTTCACTTGAGAAACCTGCTCAGAGCCCAGCAGCGAGGGGCTCCGCAGCCTCCCTCACGCTGCACCCTCCGGAACGCTCATCCCCACGGCCACCCGCGCCAG